GCTCAAAGAATTGGCTGCAAGTGACTGCAAGTCTGAGCTCTGAAGTTTGTGTTATCCTTTTATTTTAGAGGCACCAAAATGTTTTTGTTATACTTTTGCTGTTAAAGCAAAGTAGCTTACATTATCTTTATGCTGCTTTGTGTAATCCTTGGAATGGCAGCCTGCAGGGCTGGGAGAGAGAGGAGCAATACTAGTCAGTCTGCGCTGTATTGTTTTGGAAAATGCTGTAATCTTTGCCACCAGTCAGATTTCTCTTCATTGAAGTTATCAGAGAAAGATTCATTCTGAATGGTTGCAATAAGCTACTGCAACCAGATACATTATAAGAGGATCTTTACTGGTCTATCACAAAACAAGTACGGTAGCTGCTGACTTTTAGAAATATATGTTTACCTGAAATATGTATAAGTGTAGCCTGGGCAGAGGACTGATTAATTAAACTGGCTGCTGCTAGCAAAACCACAAATGTGTAATGGTGAACAATTGTGTGAGTACAGACATAAAAGTTGCTCCGCTGTCTCTACTGAAAAAATAAATATACCACCCTACTACATATAGGGGCCCCACAGATGTGCGTATACTTCAGTGCCCTATGGGTTAAACAAAATATATCTCTCCTGGCCAGTGACTAAATCATAAATAGGGAAACAAATATATATATTCTGCGTGCTCAAACAACAGTTGTGCTATAAAATGAACAATTGCAAATATAACAATACCATCAAACTATATGTACAGTGCACTTATATGCAAAAGAGAAATATATATATGTGTGTGTGTATATATATATATATATATATATATATATATATATATATATATATATATATATATTAAAGTCCCAATCAGCATGCGAACATATAAACGTTCCAATGTAAAAAATCCCCATCCGCACCCAATGTGAATACTAAGTGATACAATAGTTAATCTTATCCATAGGAATTCTCAGTGTTAAGTGCTCCAATTAGTACTCCCTCCTCCAGAGTCCCACTCACCACAAATAATTGACCACCTTGAATAATGGTCAAATAGCACATTTGGTGTTGCAGCACTCTCCTGCAGTACGTTTGCCATCTGTATGATCTTGATGCCTCTATCCACTGGTAACGGACTCCATATGTGAAAACACCTCCAGATCAATCGATTGTGAAAACTCCTCCAGAACATCCACAATACTCCTCCACCACCGTAAAAACCATCAAAGGAAAACTTCCATAGCGCCACACCGTTTTCATTAGGTAAAAAACATTTAAAATTGCACTTACATAAAAAACGTGTATGGCACTTTAAATCCCAGCACAAGGCATTTCCTTTTCAAAGGACAAGTGTGGCACTATCAGGCCCCGCCCTACGCATTTCATCATATGACGTAATCAGGAGCGTCATCAAGCTTTGGAGGATCGATTTGATCTGGAGTTTTTTCACATATGAAGTCCATTACCAGTGGATAGAGGTATCAAGATCATACAGACGGCAAGCTTACTGCAGGAGAGTGCTGCAACACCCAATGCGCTATTTGACCTACCATTCAAGGTGGTCAATTATTTGTGGTGAGTGGGGCTTTGGAGGGGGAGCACTAATGGGAGCACTTAACGCAGAGGATTGCTATGGATAAGAAGATTAACTATTGTATAACTTCACATTGGATGCGGATGGGGATTTTTTACATTGGAACTTTTATATGTTTGCGCGCTTATTGGGACCTTAATAATAAATATATATATATATATATATATATATATTACTGTCTTTTGCATATAAGTGCACTGTACGTATAGTTTGATGGTATTGTAATATTTACAATTATTCTTTTTATAGCAGAAGTGTTTTCCTATTTATGATTTATTCACTGGCCAGGAGGGATATATGGATATATTTGTTAGCCCATAGGGCATTGAAGTGTACGCACATCTGTGGGGCCCCTATATGTAGTAGTGTGGTATATTTATTTGTTCAGTAGAGGCAGCGCATCAACTTTTATGTATATATTTACCTGACCATGAAATCCAGTGCTGCCTTCCTCACATCTGAAATCTTTTGAGCTGGCTTTCACTTCTGGATCATTCCATTGGTCCCCATTCCATTGTTTTTCTCTAGTAATATGAAAAATACTAAGGTAATTAGTGGTGTCAAGTATAGTGTACTGAGGGAAGTGGGCCAAATTGTGTAAAATGCAATGAAGCATACAGAGTTAAAGATCTCCATAGCATGTATTATGTAATGTGATGTGCAGGGAAGCATACAAAGAAAATCAGTCTGGAGCATGTTATGTATTGTACAGCATGCCTTGCACAAAATAATTCTGAGTAAATAATGCACACCAATGCATTTAGATTTGTCTATTTTGTTGTACGTCTACAATCAAATGCAATACAATGTATATCACATCACAATATGCAGCATGCTGCCAGCTGGAGTATGTAACGTACAGTACGTGAATCCATGGCACATGGATAGGTAAGTTGACTTGCTGAACAAGGAAAATCTGCATTTCAATTACTCTACTAAAAGTACATTTATCCTTTATGTTTAAAAGATCAGTGCATGATTAGACAAAGAATAAATATGTTCTCAGATGGACTTCTCTCTAAACTAATTTGAGTTAAATCGGAACTAAACTCTCTCAATTAACATTAATTTTTGTTACTCCTTATTCTACTTAGCCTTTGTAAATAGATAGGAAGGTATGTTATATTGACTTGTTGAAAACCTTTTTTCTACACTTCTTTAAAGTGATTGTAAAGGATATTTTTTTTTTAAATAACAAACATGTCATGCTTGTCTGCTCCGTGCAATAGTTTTGCACTGAGCAGCCCTGATACTCCTCTTCTGGGGTCCCCCACTGGCGCTTCTGGCCCCTCCGCCCACTGAGTGCCCACCATAGCAAGCCACTTGTTATGGGTGCATTTGTGCGTACTTGCTCCCAAGTCCTGCTTCATAAGACACAGAGCTATGCCTTTATCCGTTTAAATTACACTTTACTTGCCTCTTGTGTCCTTTTAATGTGCTGGGAAAAGAGCAGCTTTTAGGCAAATAAAGTGTTAAGCTGGCAAATGGGCCTGTTGGCAAAAGGGCAGCTCCACTCTGGAATGCAGTGACCAATGGCAATGGTGGTAGAAGTTCCTTTAGGAGAATAGGCTAATGGTTCAAGGAGAACTAATGTGGTTTGGCCTGCAGGAGGCGTACACTACGTAAGCCCTGATAGTTTAACTGTATTGCAAATGTGGTTAAAGTAGTGGCTATGGGAACAAGGCCGCAACACTTGTTAACTGAATGCAATGTCCACAACTGCATACCTCCCAACTTTCTGAGATGAGAATGAGGTACACCTATTAGCAAAAGTATGTACAGTGGGGCAAAAAAGTATTTAGTCAGCCACCAATTGTGCAAGTTCTCCCACTTAAAAAGATGAGAGAGGCCTGTAATTGGCATCATAGGTAGACCTCAACTATGAGAGAGAAAATGAGAAAACAAATCCAGACAATCACATTGGCTGATTTGGAAAGAATGTATTTGCAAATTATGGTGGAAAATAAGTATTTGGTCAATATCAAAAGTTCATCTCAATACTTTGTTATATATCCTTTGTTGGCAATGACAAAGGTCAAACATTTCCTGTAAGTCTTCACAACGTTGGCACACACTGTTGCTGGTATGTTGGCCCATTCCTCTATGCAGATCTCCTCTAGAGAAGTGATGTTTTGGGGCTGTCGCTGGGCAACACGGACTTTCAACTCCCTCCAAAGGTTTTCTATGGGGCTGAGATCTGGAGACTGGCTAGGCCACTCCAGGACCTTGAAATGCTTCTTACAAAGCCACTCCTTCGTTGCCCAGACGGTATGTTTGGGATCATTGTCATGTTGGAAGACCCAGCCACGTTTCCTCTTCAATGCCCTTGCTGATGGAAGGAGGTTTGCACTCAAAATCTCACGATACATGGCCCCATTCACTCTGTCCTGTACATGGATCAATCGTCCTGGTCCCTTTGCGGAGAAACAGCCCCAAAGCATGATGTTGCCACCCCCATGCTTCACAGTAGGTATGGTGTTCTTTGGATGCAACTCAGCATTCTCTCTCCTCCAAACACGACGAGTTGTGTTTCTACCAAACAGTTCTATTTTGGTTTCATCTGACCATATGACATTCTCCCAATCCTCTTCTGGATCATCCAAATGCTCTCTAGCAAACTTCAGACGGGCCCGGACATGTATTGGCTTAAGCAGGGGGACACGTCTGGCACTGCAGGATCTGTGTCCCTGGCGGCGTAGTGTGTTACTGATGGTAGCCTTTGTTACGTTGGTCCCAGCTCTTTGCAGGTCATTCACTAGGTCCCCCCCATGTGGTCCTGGGATTTTTGCTCACCGTTCTTGTGATCATTTTGACCCCACGGGGTGAGATCTTGCGTGGAGCCCCAGATCGAGGGAGATTATCAGTGGTCTTGTATGTTTTCCATTTTCTAATGATTGCTCCCACAGTTGATTTGTTTACACCAAGCTGCTTGCCTATTGCAGATTCAGTCTTCCCAGCCTGGTGCAGGTCTACAATTTTGTTTCTGGTGTCCTTCGACAGCTCTTTGGTCTTCACCATAGTGGAGTTTGGAGTGTGACTGTTTGAGGTTGTGGACAGGTGTCTTTTCTACAGATAACAAGTTCAAACAGGTGCCATTGATACAGGTAATGAGTGCAGGACAGAGGAGCCTCTTAAAGAAGAAGGTACAGGTCTGCGAGAGCCAGAAATCTTGCTTGTTTGTTGTAGGTGACCAAATACTTTATTTTCCCACCATAATTTGCAAATAAATTCTTTCCAAATCAGCCAATGTGATTGTCTGGATTTTTTTTTCTCATTTTGCCTCTCATAGTTGAGGTCTACCTATGATGCCAATTACAGGCCTCTCTCATCTTTTTAAGTGGGAGAACTTGCACAATTGGTGGCTGACTAAATACTTTTTTGCCCCACTGTAGGTATAGGACACCCCCTTAACAGGCCCATCCCCCTTAACCACTTGAAGTCCAGACACTTTTAACCTCTTCCTGCCCAGGCCAATTTTCAGCTTTCAGCACTGTCACACTTTGAATGACAATTGCGCGGTCATCCAACACTGTACCCATATGAATTTTTTTAGCATTTTTTGAGACAGATAAAACTTTATGTTGGTGGTATTTATTCACTACTGGGATTTTTATTTTTTTGCTATATAAATGAAAAAGTCCAAAAATGTTGAAAAAAAGTGTTTTTCTTATAAAATTTTGCAAATAAATTAATCTTTCTTCATAACTATTGGCCAAAATGTATTCAGCTATCTTTTTAGTAAAAAAAAAAATAACCCAAATTAGTTTATAACCAAAAATTATAATTTTTCTAAATTTCTTTTTTACATTTTTATTTATATTTTATATTTTATTTTATATATATATATATATATATATATATATATATTCTTTATTTTTTTTAACATATTGTCACCCTAGCAGTACAGTGTTACCATAGTGACACTGTACTACTTGTGGGGGGTGATGAAGATTTTTTTTTTTTTTTTTTTAACACGGATTGCTTTTATACCCATAAAAGCTGTAAAAGCAATCATTCCTCCTTCTCTCTGGCTGCATTCTTGCAGCCATTGAGAAATACTGTGAGAGCTGTGATTGGTCACAGCTTGTCACATGGTACAAGTCTGTTGTGAATAGCCTTGTACCATGTGACCTTTGGTGATCATTCACAGATTTTACATGTAGTAAGCAATGATGTCAAAAGTGACATCTTGCTTACTACTATTCATGTGATCACTGATTGGCCAATAAGTGATCACATGATTGAGACCTCCCATAGCGATCGGTGTTCCCAGGGAGCACGCACAAGCTGAAAAAGCGGGCGCCGTTTATGAAAGGCAACCCGCTCCAGCACTGCTCCCGTCCGGCCGTTTTATATACATGGGCCGGACGGGAAGTGGTTAAAGAAGAATTGTACAAAAAAAAATGATTGATTAAACCCACAAATGTTTTTTTTTACCACTTCTATTTCGTTATACTGGCTTCTGGCATTTACAAATGCAGCAATTTAGAAATTGGATGAAAGGTTTAGCACTGCAGAATACTTTTTGATAGTGTATTTAATATACCATTATATAGATCAGACCAAAATAAGGGACAAATGAGGAGGACAGAGTGACTTTGTTCTGAATGAGGGACAGTCCCTTTTAAATCACAGACAGTTGGGAGCTATGAAACTGTGTGCAGGTAAAGTAGCTGGTATGAGGAGAATGTCAGTGTTCTCTTGCTTAAAAGGTGTGTGGGATTTTCACCCGATCGGTGGCTTCCAGCAGGTCCTGGCAGTCTCTCTCTCTCAGCCGGTGGGGGCCCCCATGGGTTCTCCGGCCTCACGTGCAGCGTTCTGTCTGCTCACTGCACTCCGGGTCACCTGATGGCAGACTGTCTTGCTGAACAAGGTGGAAAGGTCAGCAGCTCCTTCTTGCTTCTCCTCTTTCTAGCTTTGTGGCCTGGTCCAGTTCTCAGGCAGTCAACACTACTCTTTCTGCTTCCTCTCTCCAGCTCTCTCCCTTCTCACTTCCCGTCCAGTCTCCTGAGCTTCTGTATATGTCTGCCCCCGCCCACATGCCAGCACTTCTAGGACAGGTAGTCCTCTGATACACTGCTCCCTAGCAAAGTCCTGGGATTCAGCATACAAGGTCCATGGGGCTTCTCTGCATAATATGAGTGCCACTGAAATTACAGGACACTGCCATCTTGTGTTGGTTTTAATATCCTGCAGCTGACATTACAGCAAAGGTGTTACATCCATATGGGTATATTTCACTTTTTTCTTTCAAATTCTTCATTTAAGAAAACCATATCCAACAATGTTAGAAAAAGGCAATATATACCATTCAATCTGCACCAAACATGCCAATGTCAAGAAATGATACATGCAGGTTTACATTTTAAGGAACAAGACATGATAAAGTGATAAAGCTTTGCTTTTTTTTTTTCTAAAAAAACAAACGTCATACTTACCTGCAGTGTGCGATGGTTTTGCACCCAATCCTCTTCTTCTCGGGTCCCCCACCAGTGCTCCTGACTCCTCCCCTTTGACCAGTGCCCCCCCTTCGACCAGTGACCAGTGCCCACTGTGTGTGTGCCCCTCTTTATGGGTCCATATGACACACAAAGCTGTGGCTCGGCCCCACCTCCCCCTCTTCTCATTGGCTCACTGCCTGTGATTGACAGCAGTGGCAGCCAGTGGCTGCTGCTGCTGTGTCTCAGCCAATGAGGAGGAGAGAGATACCCAGAACAGCTGAGGCTCCTGTGTACATCACTGGAAAGAGAGGGAGCTCAGGTGAGTGTTGGAGGGGACCTGTGTTGAAACATGTTGGGCAGAACCTGTGGCGCATGATGTCAGCACGCTGAACGCTGCGGCCATTTTGATCTGTTCTAAACACTTTTAATAGTAGAATTCATGTGAGTTTAATACTTTAAAGAAATATGCTTGTTTTAAGCGTACTTGACTACGGAAGTTTCTTTTTAATCTTTCAATGAGGATCATTCTTTTCTTCTGATGGCATTCCTGGGTTAACCTCTATGGAGCTCGATGTATTATCAACTTATTAAATACCTAGAAGGTTGGATGTGGATAAAGTGCTGGGAAACCGGGACACCTTTGAGTACTTCAAGTGTTTAAGACCATTCTAAAATTTGAGGGTCTTATTATCTGATAAGCAGTTTGGATTTACCACTGTGGTGTCATGGTTGATCAGTTCTAGACACAAGCTAGTATTGGGACTATCCTTCCTTCCTTCTAGATGAAGTCATTCTTTTACGGACTGTTTTTTAGTGTATATCTAGCGCTGCATGTTTAGAATCTGATTAAAGTAAAAAACCTTCAGCCTTTACAACCACTTTAATTCCAAACCCTGCAGAGAGCAACATATTATAATCTGACACATTTCCAATCACTGTTTCATACAGTTACATCCAGTTTTATGGATACATCCTATCCTAGTCCACACAGTCTTCAGATTTATGTCCAATTCCATCCAAATATATCAGCCTCTAAAAGCAGGGGTCTCCAAAGTTTCTAAACAGAGGGCCAGTTTACTGTCCTTCAGACTTTGGGGGGGCAAGACCTCATCTTTGGTGTCAGTGGGAGGAATAGCACCCTATCTATGGAGTCAGTGGGTGGAATTGTGACCTATCATCGGTGTCATTGGGAGGAACAATGACCCAACGTTGGTGTCCTGGGACCTCATTGTTGGTGTCATTGGGAGGAATTGTCCCCCTTCATTGGTGTCAGTGTGGGGGGGGGGGATTATGTCCCATTGTTGGTATCAGCGGATGAAATAGTGCCCCACGGGCCAGCTAAAAGCAAGCATAGGGACACATCCAGCCCCCAGCCGCAGTTTGGAGACCACTGCTCTATTGACTGGTGTCCAGATTTAAATTGGAACTATACTCACCTCCAATCCCACAATGCACTGTCCCTACCTGGCCGCGGGCAGCCAGCTTCCAGGTCCCGAGCGCCAGCCGCTGTCATTGGTCGTGTGGGGATGACATCACTGCCGCGCATACATTGCCGACTGACGTCACTCCCGCGATTGCATTGCATTGCATTTGTACAGTGAGCGACACCTGTGCGGCTCACTGTACAGGGGTGGACAGTCAGGTGGGTAGCTTTATTGCAGAAGAGACAAAGTATGTATCTTCTCCATTAAAAATCCCGCCTGTCCACCCATTTTTTATTTTTTACCTAAAGTTCCACTTTAAAGCAGAACTTCACTCTCTCAGTCAGCATTGATTATTTGTAATCCTTATGCTGCTAGCAATAGTAAAAAGAAGTTTAAACTTCTTTTTTTTTTAAACATTTCTTCAGTTACTTCCTTGTTTCCAGTGCTAAGCAAATGATATCATACCATGCAAGAAGGAGCAGTTTTCTTAGCTAAGTATACCCTCCTGTCTGCATGCCTGATCTAAAGGCAGAGGATTCCAGGAAGTAAATGCTACATGAATCATCAGCCCTTACTCAGGATGGCTTTTCAAAGTGATTTCTCATCAAAATAATGCATGGAGACATGGATGGATGGGTGAGTTTGCTTTGAATATTAAAAATGAATTAAAAAGCATTTTTGTTTGTGATCCAGTGTAGTTCCGCTTTAAGCATTCAGTGCTATCCTGAGACCATCATCCCAAAGTAGCATTGCCATGGCAACCATGGAGCAATCAGTGAATACACCACTAACTCCTGTGGTTTATTATATTTTCAGACTTATTCAGTAATGCAAATGGCAACAAGGATGTGCAGAGTACAGTCATTTAACCAATCAGATTTAATTTCTCTGAACTAAGCCAAGGGGTCATTTCTTATTGCTATGGGTTACTTAACCTTATATATTAGCACTCCTATGGTACACTACATTAAGTTAGAATGTGGACAGGGATATATAAAATATGCAAGATACAATGAGAGAAATTTATCAAAGCTAGAGCAGCTGCACATGGTAACCAATCAGCTTCTATTTTTCATTTCAAAGTTTAACTGAACAAGCTGAAGATAGAAGCAGATTGATTGCCTGGGACAGCTGCTGCAGATTCTGGTTGCTCCAGTTTTGATAAATCCCTCGCTATATGTCCATGAGCTGGTTATGAACTGGACACAGAGATTTATAAGTTCAATGTGCTGCTGAACCAGAGGTAAGGACACTTTCGGTGGTATTTCCAGGCAGGCAGAAGTGTGAAAAGTGCACAAAAGAAAAAAGTGTGCACACGGGGCTTGTGCTACCACTAGGCAAACTAGGCAGCCAATTTGGGTGCACTGCCACCTAGGGTGCATCCAGGGCTGCCGATAGGGCAGTTTAGCCGGCCCTGCTGTAACATCAATTGTATTTTCCCTGGGCCCCATCTTTACACCAGAGGAGCAGAGAGAGTTTTTTTTTTTTTTTTTGGCCGCTGAGTTTTATAATGCTGATCAGTGGTGGCCAGCCTTATCTGCTCACAGCCTTTCACTGGTGGAGTGATTCTTTTACCTGGCAAAGTGATTATCCCTTCCTCTGCTGCGGAGGGCAGAAGGCAAGGCTGTAGCCTAGCAGTGGAAGGTGATTCAACAGAGATATTGCCAAGGGCACAGGCAAGCTCACAATTTCTGTTTTCTGAGGCACAGACAAAGCTACAGCCATACGCTATATACAGACAGACATACAGCACCTTCTGTACTGTGTGATCATGATGATCACATAAGCACAGTGAGACGCTTCCTGTTCTTATTTACACTTCCTTGATGGACATTAAAAATGTGCAACTGAGCCACACTTTTACTGTCTCTCAGCCACTACCCTTAATGCTGCAAAGACACTGTAGTATGACAGTAGTGGTGGGGTGTTGTGCGAAACCCCTCCGCTGCCGTACTATGGTGGCAGTGCCTTTGCACAATAATGGGGAATGGTTGGAGGGACAGTAAAAGTTTGGCTAAGCTGCACATTTTTAAT